GGCGGGCAGCGCGCTGGGGGGAGGGTCTCGACTGCTGGCAGCGGGCGGTCGAGCCGGCGTGCCCTTAATGGACGCGGATTCGAGTAATTCTTTAGTAGCGCGGTGTGGTGTGTGTTGTGGAATTATATCATCACTGGCGTTGTGAGAATCCGTCGCGGCGCCTGCGGCCGCGCGTCCTCCTTATCCAGGAGGACTTTGACGAGGAGGAGGCTGAGGCGCTGCGGGAAGAGAACGAGTGCGAGGAGGAGCTGGTGGACCAGGTGATCTGGGGGGGGGAGGGACGTGATCTGGGGGGACGTCATTTGGACCTCCGTGGGCCAACGCCTGCGCCTGCAAGGTGGCCTGCAGTTGCGGCGCTGCCGCGCCCTGTGCGTGCAGCTCTGCTGCTCAACCTGCACACTGCCTTCAGGTTTTTGATGCATACTATCTCATTGCATGTTTTCGTAATGAAAAACGCCGCGGCGCGCGCCGCCCCCGCCAGGTCACCACCGCCATCGGGTCGTTCCTGAAGCGCTTTGGCGACAGCGTGCTGCCCTACGTGGAGTCCCTCATGCCACACATCGCCCCCCTCCTGGACAAGGTGGGCGGGCAGGACAGGGGGGCTGGACTGGACTGGACTGGACTGGACTGGACCGCGCAGCGCAGGCCCGGGGCTATTTGCAGCAAAAGCAGCACACGCAGCACAGGGGAAACCCGTTTCCTCACGCCTCCTCAATCGCAGCGGCCCCAGCGGCCCCGAGTGGAGCCCCCGGCTGAGGGCCTGCTGCTGCTAACCGCCGCCCCCCTGCCGCGTTTTTCGCCCGTGCTTCCCAAGACTTCCGTCCCCCTCCCCCCGCCGTCCCCTGCACCCACCCATCTCTCAACCCCCCACCCCCTCCCCTGTGGATGACGTCATCATCGTGTCCGCCACCCCCCACCCCCCCCCCAGTCGCGCACCGAGGAGGAGCGCCGCATCGCGCTGTGTGTGGTGGACGACCTCCTGGAGCACTCGCCAGCGGGGCGCGCCAAGTACGCGCCGCAGGTGAGAACAGGGCGCAGCCCCCTGTTTTTTTGTGTGTACTGCGCCCCGCTCCGCAGTCTGGGGGAAAGGGGCTGGGCGCGGGGGACGGGCGGCGGCCGGCTGCGCGGGACCGGCTCCGTGTGCGCGGCGCCCAGCGCGAGTGGTGCGCGTTTACAGTGGGCAAGGGGACGCTTTGGGCGCCTCAGGCCCGCACGGCGCTCCAGCCCTCACCCGTGGCGCCTCCTGTGGCGCCTCTGCGCGTCGGAGCCGGCTGACGTCACGCTGACGTTACCTCTTCTCCTCGCCCCTGATTCTCTGACCACCAGCACCCCCCATACACACTCACTTGTCCACGCCCCTCCTCAAACCACAACACCCGCAGGTGCTCCCCGTCCTCCTCGACGCGTGCGGCGCGTCCCACTCCGACCTGCGGCAGTGCGCGGCCTACGGCGTCGGCGTCGTCGCGGCGCGGGCGCCCGAGGTGCTCAAGCCGCACGCGCAGGCGGCGCTCGCGCGCGTCATGGCGGTCATCCAGCAGCCGGTGAGCTTTTGGCCTCCGCCGCCTCGCGCCGCCGCCTGCCCGGCCCACGGCCGGCAACGCCTCCCCTCCCCCCCTGTTTCTGGGCCGAATGGGGCTGGCCCTGGGTCACTTTTACATATTGTGGGCCGGGGGATGAGCAGATTGTTTATCATTGTTGAGGGGGGATGGTGTGACGTGTCGGTCAGGCTGGGGTGGGAGGGTGGCGGCTGGGGGCTGAGGCGCGCTGGCTCGGCCGTGCTGCAGGCTACGGGCCGGGTATGAGCGTGCGTGAGGGCTCGTGTGTGTGTGTGTGTGTGTGTGTGTGTGTGTGTGTGTGTGTGTGGATAAGTGTGTGTGTACGTATGTGTGTGTAGCAGGCTATAGGGTGTGTGTGTGCCAGATCGTTGGTGTCGGAGTGTGTGAGCGTGTTTATGCATGCGTGTGTTCTTTGAGAACATCCTGATACAGGCGCACATCTGGGGGAGAGTCCTTGCCGCTGTCTCCGGTGCGCGACAGACGCACCCGCTCTCGCAAAACGTGGTCGATTATTCCGAGCCCAAGGCCGCCGGCAGGCAGGCCGCCAGGGCGGTGGCGGGCCGGCGTGGGGCTGTCTGGCGTAGATATTGAGCCCGGCAGCCCCCCCCCCCCGCGCGACCGCCCCCGGCCCGAAACCCTGGCCAAGTCACCGCCGCGCCTTGTCGCGAGCACAGGCACGCGGCCCCCACTCCCCCTTGCGACCCCGAAGCCGCCTTGCTGGGTCGGCACGAGAGCACACGCCGTGACAGCGCACAGGGGACCCAACCCCTCCCTTGATGGCGCCCCAAGTCATAACGGCTCAGCCAGCATCAACAGCCATCCACTCCCCCCCAAACACACACATAC